AGAAAAAGGAAGGAAATTCTGTTTGACACAGTGGGATTTTATTGATGCGGACGCGACGCTCGGACAGTCGTTTATCGATCACCGTCGGTCGCGCACGCTCTCATCCTAATCGTCGTTAATCAGTTAATTAGTTAATCGATTGATAGTATTCGTCGTCGTGGTTGCGATCAGCGAATCTTGTTACGAGCTACGTTTTAAGAGAATTCGTTCGATACATACACACATACATACACACATATACATACATGCATACATACATACATACATACATACACACGTATGCGTATATGTAATTCGTTTGAATCGTGCGAATCAATCGTTAACATTTGCGACTAATGTATACAAATTTTCTATTATCCGATTGTTTCTCGAAGAATTCGAACGGAAGATTTATATTTATCCGCGCCGTCGGCGGATGCGGTCGTTTCAATTGAAAGCTGAAGGAATTTCGAGTAGAGTCAAAGAGCCAGAATTCCGCGCGAAAGCGACAATCGAGTCGACAATAGCTCGGGAAAGGAATCGGAGATCAATGTTCCCCGTCTTCATCGAGTAGAGGGATGGTTAAATTCGTTTGCATTCGCTTCCTCGAAGCCGACAGAACGGTTCGATCAGGATCGCGACTTTCATCGAGACATCAGCACGATTTTCATTCGTTTCGAGCCAACATACCAGTGGCGTCGGAATAACAGTGGTTTAATTCCTGTATCCGAGTACCGGAGTACGAGAAGCTTTCGCAAAGTATTCTTATTAATTCTTACTTTTTGAATTTAATTCAATAATTAACTAAATTATACATCAATCGCTTAATCGATAGAAAAAAAGGAAACGGCGCGTCGATCTCTTGCTGTTCGACTAATTAGATCATTTCTCCACGACTTACCCTTCGAAATCTGATCATTTCATCTCATCGAAATGCCGACACCCGTCCGCAAAGGGTTAACATTCAATTACTCAAAGAACATCTCGCAAAAACTTCTCAAGAACTCGGAAACAATAATTGAATCACTGTTATCCCTAACCACATATCATTGCTTCGAACCTGGCACTCGTGACGTCACAGGGGCGGAGTCAGTCTCCAAGAACTCCAATAGCGAATCCAGAAACGACTGTCCACGCCCTCTGTCGCGCGGCTCATTGGCGAGCGCCAGCGCCTCGGCCAATCAGGCGCCCTCGAGTCTGACCACTCGGACGAGAGTGCCAAGTTCGCTGCAACGGACGGTTACACGTACACGTCGATCGATCTTCGTTCAGACTCGAGAAGAAGTACTCGTCGATCGCTGTGGTTTCCCTGACGCGACACTGTCTTTCCGGGGCCCGGTGGGCCCCATCTTCAACGCCGCTCGGCCCTCGCGAACTTCCGTGGCCGCGGACAGGCAATAAGAATACACTCGACTTCTATCTTCGATCAGTAACGTCCGCAATCATCGGTGATTCCGGATGTCTCCCGATTGTGGATCGTGCCTTTCTTACAACTACTAACTTCTCTGTCGACTGTTTTCCGTTGGTTCTTCGTGTTCCGCCGGGAGCCAGAGGATCGCCGTGACGGAACACTTCGGGGTGATCTCAGGACCTCAGGATGATCTCGCGTCGAATGGATCCGCGATTCATTGATCTTCAGTCGATCCTGTTCAAAACTGGGCGAGCAACTCTCGGATTGAACGCTTTCACTTCCAACCCTCACTGTTCAGACGACATTAAGAAGTAATTCCGTAATTTTGTTAATATTTCTCATTCGTAATTTCATTGCGAAGATCAAGATTTCATCAGTAAGTTATTCTCCAAACTACCAAATCGTTTAACCCTCGATACAATTAACTAGAGTCGTCTGCATAGCAAGGGTTAATCGAAAGCTACTCTCTCCGATCCAAGTTTCCCTTTCATTCGAACGCGTGATCAATCTCGAGAAACCTAATTAACGGAGCAGGGACGGCCAACCTCCAGCAGTTCACGCGGCGATCTCCTCACTTTTCAGTTAAGACGCACCTATACATAATTCAAGTATAATAAGCTCGAACTCTAGAATTCATTAATAGCTTGATCGTGAGTTTATATATATATACATATATATATATATATATACATATACATACGTGTATATATCTCATTTTTTTTAATATTAATATTACATATGTATATTAAATATTAAGTATAAATATTAAAAAAAGAAGAGATTTTTAAACAGTTCGTCTGCGAGGTTCGGTGAGGTCACTTCCGGGTTGGCCGTCCCGAGCTCGAGAGGGGATCGGACCGCGAGGAAATGCGAAGCTCGCACGGCGATCGTTCCGCGGTGCAGCCCGAACCTGTTTTCTAGTCCTCGGATCTTCGTTCGTTGGGATCCAAGTCAAGTTCGGGAAGGGGAACGGTCCCCGCGAGCGCCGTTCGCGGGTCGGACCAAAAGAAAACGAGAGAGAAAATAACAGAAGAAAAAAACAAGATTAAAAAAGGTAAACGAAAAAACCAACGCAGTTCACTTCCGCGAGAGTCGAACGGAACAAGACTTAGAGCTTAAGGATCGGCGAGCGCGAACGGACGCTAGGGTACACACACCGAGCCGAGCGGCGCGCCATTTTTTATAAAAATGGCCGACCGGCTCGCCGCGTTAAATCTAAGATGGGGGAAACGGAGAGAGACTAAAAACGCGCGACTTTCTGCGAACGGAAGGGATTCCTTGGGGACCGGCGAACGAAACGGAAGGCGTCCCTTGTCGAACGAACGCGAAAACCGTTGGGACGATCGGGAAAATGGTCGGTCGGTCCTGGCGACGAACGACGAACGCAGGATCGCTTCAATCCAAATTGTTCGTGCATAGATGTATTTTCCACGTAAATAGCCATCCGACCAACTGACGGAGAAACTGACAGAGAAACGGAGCGGAGAGAAGAGATCGTTAACCTTCTCTGTTCGTTTCTCGTCAGCCTCGTCGGTTAATTAAACGTCCTCCACCCAGCTCTCACGAGACCCGTGGTTCTCCCCCCAAAAAAAGAAACCTAAAGATAAGTCGTAAGAAAACTCGTTGTTGCGTGTCACTTAGGAAATATGTTTAGCCGACTCGAGACGGGAGGAATTTATTATTAAATGATAAAAAACCGGAGGGTACGAGATAGAGAGGGAGTGGTAGAGAGGAGTTGGAAAAGGGATCAGCGACGTCGCTGAGGGATCGTTTCGTGAACGCCCCCGGGAGAAAAACTGGAAAACGGAGAAAAAAATATTGCAGGCAAAAGGAAATATTATACGTGGTGTAAATGAATAATAATAATAATAATAAACGGAACTCGAGACACTCTGTTAGGAAATGAGAAATTAATGTTGTCCGCCCCGTGGTCGCGCGACCGTTCGCTGGTTCTCTCCTTCGTTTTCGTTTCTCGTTTCGTTTCTTTTCTTTTTCTCTTTCGCGTTGATTTCGAATCGTTCGTCGCCGTTCGACGAACGTGCCGAATTGCACAATAAAATGGAAACATGGGGGGGACGAAGTACACACGCTGTCACGTTCGCGTACGATGCAATCAAACTCTGAAAGGGGGCGGGTGAGGGTGGTTGCGAAGGGGGTAGGTTTTTTTTCGCGCGATCAACGAGCGAACGGGTTCTCATCCGTTT